AACGGGCTTCCGGATGTTTCATATGCCCCGCACCCCGTTCTTGAGAGCAGCTCGCCAACCGATACTTATCTGGAGGTCCGTTCCCTGTCCAGCAGCGACAATGGTTGGAGTACTATCGATCATCGCCGCTCTCTCGACTTTGGTTATCCCGAACAAGGTGTTTTCGTCAACCCCACTCAGACCCTTCACGACCGCAGCCTGTCGGAATCTTCATATTCCACATCATATGGTAGCTTCGTGGATATCACGAATCCGATCGGCTCTCCCGGTTCCGACAACAATATGGACTTGCCTTGCTATAATCATCATGGCCACGGCCATAGTCATAGTCATAGCCATACTCACAGCCACAACCACAGCCATAGTCACAGCCACAGCAGCTCCATTGGAATTCACGGTACCTCCCCAACAAGCAGCGCAGTTGTGCTTCGTGACCAGTCTTCGCCAGGTTCTCGCTCGCCTTCCGCAGTCAGCCCCGTCGGAATGGTCCGGCCGATCCCGGTGCCGATCAAGAAGTCAACATCCCCTGCTCGATCAGCTGGGTCTTCTCAAGCATCGGCCTCACCACCGAGCCGGAAACCGTCCCGCAAGAGTCCCATTGCCGCTAAGACCGCCGAGACTAAGGTTCGCAAGCAGTCCCAGACCGGCAAGCCCGAGACCGAGAAGCGTGTTGGCAAGAGAAAGGGCCCCCTCAAGCCCGACCAGCGTAAACAGGCCAGTGAGATCCGGAAGTTGCGTGCTTGTCTGCGCTGCAAGTTCCTCAAGAAGACGTGCGACAAGGGCGAGCCTTGTGCAGGATGCCAACCGTCGCACGCACGGTTATGGCAGGTGCCATGTACTCGCATTGATATTAAGGAGATTGGTTATTTCATGAAGGACTGGAAGGCGGATTACGAGCGTCACATCACCATGGGCTTCTCAGTCGGCAACATTACCGGATTTTCGGACCAGGAACGCACACTGTTCATCACTCACGGTTATGGACAGATCATGCCCATCAACGCTCGCGAAGTCTATGTCCGCGACGAGAAGTGCTTCAACATTGACTGGATCGAGTCGATGCAGCGTGATCCAACACAATATGAAGTTGAGACTGCCAAACTCTCTGCTGGTATGGAGGGCATCTCGCAAGCGATGCTGTCAGATTATCTTGACCGCCACATCGATGGCAATGGCACCTTTGAGAAGTTTGTCGACGATTACTTCGAGGGCACTCCTTTCCTGACGCAAATGCTCAAGACCGCCTTCCGCTACTACTTCCGCACTAAGCTGCCCGTTATCCGGAAGGCACTCAAGCTGGTGGTTGCCTACAACCTCACCATGCACGTCACCATGGTCGAAGGCATTGGCGAGGAGGAAAACTTCCTCGGCAAGATCAAGACCAAGGGGTCCAAATTCTCCGGCAAGACCATGGCTCCCGTCATGATCAACTTCCAGATCAAGTATGCCATGGCTAGCATGTGGCGTGATCTTCAGAAGGATGTGCTGGAGGAGCTGTCAGCACTTTACTCCAGTGTGTATAGTGGCGACAAGCTGAAGAACTGGCCGACAATCTTCATCCTGGCCTCCATTCTGCTGGCCGTGTGGGAGGAGATGCAGTTCGACAGCCACTACCGGACACCAGACCAGTCTGCCGTTGACAAGTTCTGCACTGACATGGAAACCACCCCGGTGGGTGTAATCGTCGGGCTGTTCCAGGCCATCTCACAGAAGCTGCCCCCGTTCACCGAGTGGGACTCTCAAAAGCACCACCAGCTGTTGTACTCCAACCCGGATGTTTGCAACACCATGACCGAAGTGCGCCAACATGTCGAGCAACATGGTAAGTGATAGAAGTCTTCCCGGTCTGATTGGTTCAACCTTCGAAACTAACACCGTCTTGTAGAAACCTACCTCCGCAGCCGCACTGGCACGAAATTCAACCGTGGCGACTTCGACTGCCTTTCAAATAAATTTGTGTCGCGACTGGTCATTCGCGCCAATTAGACAACGACCCCGATGCGCAAACGCATTATGATGATGATATTTACCACGATTGCCGTTTCCAGCGAGTACAGTTCCGCGATTTCGTTTTGAACATTAAATGTTAACACTGAGAATATGCGAATCCTTGTCGTGACGATGCGCAAGCGCATATTACGCTCTTTAACGAAGAATCCGACGGGGCGCCCTCCCAGTGAGGGTCTGCCCTTTTTGTATTGTGCTTCCGAGCGAACCGACTCTCTTTGATCTAGCTTTTCATGAGCCTTGTTTTTTTTTTTGGTCTTTTGTCATATTTACCTTTTCCTTTTTCATTGGTCATTGTCTCTGTTTTGGAATCTCTTTTTTTTTTTTTTTTTTTTTTTTTTTTTTTGCTCTTGTCTTTGGTGTATACCTTTCTTCGCATAGCTTTGTCTTCAGCGATGAACGAGGATCACGAATGTCATGACCGTGTACGGCCGAAGGTGTTTCTATTGTTTTGTTTTCAATTTTGTGGCATCCGGCACCCGCTACGGAACAGGCCACAATTCAAGTTAAAACAGGGCCCTGAGAAAGGGTGTGCAGGCTGTCTTATCCCCGAACTGTCACATTCTTTGTGGTGGTTAACGCATATCTTCAGCCGGGGACGGCGTCGGAGGCTTTTTTTTTGCAAGAGCGCTTTGTTTATACATTGCCAGTGGGTTTTACGCTCTATGGATATGATAGTCTTTAACTTTTATTGAATTCTTTCTTATTTGACTATTTGTTTTGAAGTAACTATAAAAAGAGAGTAGAAAAAGACACGGCGGTGAAGCCGGATCCGGCTTTGATACTAAGTTTGGAAGCGGGTACAGAGTACCCGGGAGACCGCAGCAGTTGCCGCGGAAAACCCCGTACCCTGTTCTGGGCATTAGTGTCTCCATTAAAAAGGTCCACCCCCTCTTTTGGCGCCCAGGCGATAAGCAATTCAACGTCATCACTTTGGATATTGGGCTTGAGGGATATAAGTAGAAATGATAAGAGAAAACCTGTATAGTGGAAGATCGTAGAATCTTAATAATCCTAATAATAGTCTATATTCTTGCCCTGCAATATCCAATAAAATATAGATTTCGGAGTTTTCCTCAGTGGCGTTCAATGAAGTGATAGGCTGTTCTCACCTGGGCAGGTACCCCCGTTTGACTCATCCGGCATCTTCTGGCATTTTCACGGCGTCACCTGCACCTGACTAAGACGCCTCGCCCCCTCATCCTTTCCAAGGTTTCCTACATAAGGACACTGTTTCCCCTCTTTTTGCTTTCTCCCTTCTTACAACCATCCTCCACTCAGGGTACTTCACACTCGAGAATCCTTACCTTCAAATCAACATAATCAAATATCAAAGCCCATCATGCAGATCTTTGTCAAGACTCGTACGTTCATACCCTTATCTACGCCCCAAGGCCTCAAGAAGATGACCGCCTGGATCCCACGGACCATCTCTTGCAACTCGGCTCTATGTGACACCTTCGCTAACATTTCTTTATCTAGTCACTGGCAAGACCATCACCCTTGAGGTTGAGTCCAGCGATACTATCGACAATGTCAAGTCGAAGATCCAGGACAAGGAGGGCATCCCTCCTGACCAGCAACGTTTGATCTTTGCCGGCAAGCAGCTGGAGGACGGTCGCACCCTTTCCGACTATAATATCCAGAAGGAGTCCACTCTCCACCTGGTCCTCCGCCTCCGTGGCGGTATGCAGATTTGTAAGTGTTCTCTCACAACAACATTGTCATTTACTTTTTGACTAACATTTGCCACAGTCGTCAAGACCCTGACCGGAAAGACTATCACCCTCGAGGTCGAGTCATCTGACACCATCGACAATGTTAAGTCCAAGATCCAGGACAAGGAGGGCATTCCCCCCGACCAGCAGCGCCTGATTTTCGCCGGCAAGCAGCTGGAGGACGGCCGCACTCTGTCCGATTATAACATCCAAAAGGAATCCACTCTCCACTTGGTTCTCCGTCTACGTGGTGGTATGCAGATTTTCGTCAAGACTCTCACTGGCAAGACTATTACACTTGAAGTCGAGTCATCCGATACTATCGATAATGTGAAGTCCAAGATTCAAGATAAGGAGGGCATTCCCCCCGACCAGCAGCGTTTGATCTTCGCAGGCAAGCAACTTGAAGATGGCCGCACACTCTCCGATTACAACATTCAGAAGGAATCCACACTCCACCTTGTCCTTCGTCTACGTGGTGGTATGCAAATCTTTGTCAAGACTTTGACCGGCAAGACTATCACGCTAGAGGTTGAGAGCTCAGACACCATCGACAACGTCAAGAGCAAGATTCAGGATAAGGAGGGTATTCCTCCTGACCAGCAGCGTCTTATCTTCGCTGGTAAGCAGCTGGAGGACGGACGTACTCTCTCGGACTACAATATCCAGAAGGAGAGTACCCTGCACCTAGTGTTGCGTCTGCGTGGCGGCCAGTAATTGATTTATGATGCTCTTTTTTTCTCAACTTCGATAGGTTCTATATGACCTGCATGGCGTTTGGTCGGTTTTCGAGGCTGAGGCTTCTTTTATTGCAATGTGTTTCCTGAGGACGGCTTCTCTCTTTCACCTTGCCCACATCATTCTCATCGAGATGTGATAGATAGTTCTCTACAATTCACTCTAGCAATCTTTGCTGGTTTTCACCTAGTATACCATTTCATTGATTATACATGTAGAAAAGTACTCTGTACACTTAAATGTTTATCCCTCCAGCATCTCCTATCTGTGTGGGAACATATCTGTAAGTTCATATCTAGGCAATTCTGTCTAACCAACCAATTTTTTGCCATCTCACCTTCCAGAATGCGCTTTAGAATCTCAATCCTTTTTTGCCTCTTTGCCACTCTCGCGTGCCAGGAACCACTTGTGGCGTAAGGCGCAGAGGCGGGCGACAATGAAATATTAAGTAATCATACATCCTTATCGTGATAACACGACTTCCTCTTTTGACAGTTTCAACAAGTCGCAAGCAGAGGATGCGAGCCATCATCCGGGATGCCCGCTTACTTCTACCACCTTAGCTTGCAACTCCTCTCACACGGCCTATCCGACGCGCCGAGCTTGCAGGGATCCTCCTCTCCTGCGCTACAATCTGCATGGGAAGCTCTCCAACCATTCCAACGGAGCCAGCATTCAACCTCCAACCGCCTATCACCCGCAGGAGATAGTCAAACCCCACCAACTCCAGACCACACTTTGGCGCATCGCCAGAAATTCATATCCACTCTCTCCACCCACACCACATCAACCCCACTTCGAAGCACTCCCTCCGCCAGCACTTCGCACGACAGTAACACCTCCACTAGCTCCTCAATCACCCCCACCTCACTCGAAGACGACAAGCGCTTCGGCGCTGTCTCCATCGAGTGCATTGACATGGTCACTCCAAAGCACCCGTCCAAACGCACCTCGAAGCGCGGCTCCGCACCCACCACAGAACCAGAGAACCTCGTCGCCGCAGGCATTGGCACTGATATTCTAGGTGGCCTTCGTACAAAAGGCCGATACATTCCACTTGATTACGAGCTTGCCGACAGCGTCTGGGGAATTGTACACTTATACCGCGACTCTCAAGAGACGCCCTACCTCGGAAACGATGACGAGTACCCCGCCTATTTGAAGGGCTCTTCAGCTGCGGCCCGCCACCCCGGTGAGCAGCAAGCTACGTTAAGACAAGGTCTGACCAGCGCGGCGGGTGTTAAACAACCTGGGACGGCGGGCCTTGCTGAATACCCTTTCCCTGAGACGACTTCTTCCTCTTCGCAAGGTCCCGATGAGGATTGTACGACACTATGTATTCTCGCCGTGCCGTCTTATCTGTCTCCGCCGGACTTTTTGGGGTTTATGGGACAGAAGACTATGGATGATGTTAGTCATTTTCGCATGATTAGGACTGCGCGTGCGAATCGGTATATGGTTTTGATGAAATTCCGGAACGGGCGTAAGGCGAAGGAATGGCAGAAGGAATGGAATGGGCATGTGTTTAACAGCATTGAGCCCGAGACCTGTCATGTGGTGTTTGTGAAGACGGTCGAAATCCAAGTCGTGGATTCCGGAACACCATCTGCCGAGTATGGCGCTCTCTCCTCTAACCTCTCAACCCCTTCTCGGGCCCCGGTATCATCTACCGGACAAGCAACTCTCACCGGCAAACCTCTCGCGCCACCTACCCCTGCATTAGTCGAACTACCAACCTGTCCCGTCTGCCTAGAGCGAATGGATGAAACCACCGGGCTCCTGACAATAAACTGCCAACACGTCTTCCACTGTACCTGTCTCCAAAGATGGAAAGGCAGCGGCTGTCCCGTATGCAGATACACACAAGACGACTACCGCAAAAGTAACGCGGGCTTGAAACAGGACGAGGAACCCCAAGAATGCAGTGTCTGCCACTCAGAAGAAAACCTCTGGGCCTGTCTAATTTGCGGCACGATCGGCTGCGGCCGCTACGACAACGCCCACGCCTTCGCCCACTGGAAAGAAACAGCCCACGCCTTCTCCATGGACCTTACCACCCAGCGTGTATGGGACTACGTAGGCGATGCTTATGTTCACCGCATCATCCAAAACAAAACAGACGGAAAGCTTCTCGAACTACCCGCTGCAGACCACAGTGCCCTCGATCCACCAGACTGGGGTGACGCTGTCCCTCGCGAGAAACTAGAAAACATGAGTATCGAATACACACACCTCCTCACCAGCCAGCTTGAAAGCCAGCGCGCGTACTTCGAAGAAGTCGTTGAGCGCGCAGTCGACAAAGCCTCACAGGCTAGTGCCGCCGCCGCCGAGGCGGAAATTAATGCTTCCAGCGCCTCAGCGCGTTTGGAAGAATTACAAGCCAAGTATGATGCTGTGACGATTGAGACGTTGCCGTCGCTTGAACACGACCGCGCGCGTGCGGAGAAAAGAGCAGAGAAATTCGAGGCACTAGCGCGCTCGTTTGAGAAGGGCTTTCAGGAGGAGAAGGCTATGAATCACAATATGCTGTTACGGTTAGAGGGTCTTGCTAAAGAGGTTGAAGGGCTTAAGGCTTCGAATGCGGACCTGGCAGAGCAGAATCGCGATTTGACATTCTTTATTAGCGGGACGCAAAGGTTGCAGGGACAGGGTGAGGAGGTTGAACAGGGGACTGTTTCTGTTCCTGAGCCGCCGGCTGCTTCGAAGAAGAAGAGGAAGGGAAAGGGAAAGAAATAGTTTGGGAACCGGAGAAGTTTCTGCTTTTTACTTCTGCTCGGGATTTGGAGTGAGTTGGGCTTGGGGTTGTATTCTTTGCATCCATAATAGGGATACGGTTGGGTGGTTATGTGCATTTAGCGTAGTGTATTGAGTACGCCTGAAACGAGTCAATGAATAAATGTATGAATTCATGAAATATCGATATGTAATGAGTACAAGGTTAGGAGATGTTAACAGAAATCAAATAATATACAGATATACAAATAGCTCAAAAACAATGCAAGTATAAATACACACTAATGTCTCCAATCTAAAGCTCCTTCCTAACAGCCCAGAAATAATTCCCCCAATCCTCACTCCCAGGAACCATCTTCCACCCAATCCCAGGAACATAAATAGCACCCACGCACTTCCACCTCATCCCCTCCGCAACCGCACTTCCCCCTCTCGAAACACCCGTGTCAGCAGCCCTCATCAACCCCTCCTGCAACCACCCCTTAACCTCATCCGGGTTAACAAATTTACTCCACTCATGCGTCCCGCGCGGCACAACACCAATCGGCCACGGCGCCTCGGCAATAACCTGGTTCAGGATGAATGACGGCAGCGTCCGCGAAATAGTAGATCCAATTAACCAACCGCCGGGCTTAAGAGCACGCAGACAGTTTGTTAGGAAGCTCAGCGGCGTTGAAGTTTTCGGGTCGATGTGTTCCAGTACTTCGAAGAGGGTTACGATGTCGTATTGCGGGGGAGTGAGTTCAAGGCTGGGGTTTTGGTTGGGGTTTGAAGCGGGAGCTGAAGTCGAGATCGGGGCATTGCCGGCAAGTACATCCTCCAGCGTCGTGTTGAGATACTTGAAGCGACCTGTGCGCAGATGCGAGTCGACGGTTGGATCCATGCGCGCGTGCTCGCGTGCCATTTGGATTAGATTTGTTGAAGGGTCAATTGCGGTCATTGAGGCGGCGCGGGTTGGGGTTGGGGCTGGGCCGGTTGGGCCAATTGGGATCGTGCGTGCGAGGGACTCGGCGAAGATGCCGCCGCCGCAGCCTACGTCAAGATAGTTGAGGGTTGCGGCGGAGGAAGTTGGGTCTGGTGATGAGCTTCCTTCTGCTAGGCAGGAGGCGATGAATTCGTGGCGGAGAGGGTTCATTAGGTGCAGGATTCGGGAGGGGCCCATTGGGTCCCACCAGGAGCTGGCGAGAGCGGAGAAGTGAGAGAGTTCATCAGCGGAGACAGAGGATGTTGAATGCGCGCGGGTTAGTGGTGTTTGGGTGGATGGGGCGGAGGCGGGTGCGAATAGGGAGGTGCTTGGTGAGGGCCTTGTTGAGCGTAGGGTTGAACGGAGGGCTCTGACTGAGAGAGGAAGGGTACGGGGTCGCAGGGAAGCCATTGTGTAAGTAATGGCGTAGATGTAGTTGTGGGCGAGAGATTCAATGGAGAATTGGCTCTGCGTTTTTGGTGCTCTGGTGAGCTTTGGTTGATGCAAAGTCCCGAGGATTATCTGTGAGAAAGTGTTAATTGGTGCTTGCAAGGAGGATTGAAAACAGTAGAGAGCATACCAGTAACGAATGTCCCGAGCAACGGAAAAGAGAAGGTCGCATGAAGCCGATCACCAAATTAGAGATGCCGAGACAAACATGCCAAGACAATTTGACAGTTATTCACGAAGCTCATAACTTCTCGACTACGATGTACATCGACTACAGTGGACATGGACTTGATGCGGTAAGGCATTGATCGTATTCTATAATTCAATTCTGTCTCCATATCATAAACAAACATTCCATATCATAAACAAACATCCCATATCATAAACAAACATCGATCGTATTCTATAGTTCAGTTCTGTCTCCATCCATATCATAAACAACCATCTATAAGGTCCACTTGGTATCATAAAACAAAAGAAAGTCACATCACATATTCAAAACAGTTGGTAAAGATGACCATCATCACAAGAGACAACTTTCGAAGCCCAGTTCTTGTGGCACATGTGGATGAGGAGCTGACTCAGCTTGACCATCGACATCCTGGATCTCAATATCCTCGGCACTAGCAGCGTAGTCCCAGACATGTTGGCCGGACCATGAAGCCAACTGATCCGGTACAGCAGCGCCAAGTATAGGAAGGAAATTCCCTGTGGTGATGTTGCAGTCGAGTCCAAGTACGGATCGACAACGATCCAGCAATGTGGGGAAGAGATACGAGGGCGAGCCACGAATCTGAGAAAGCGTGTGAAGGATACCCCACAGCAACTCGTTTGGATCAATAGTAGACTCAGCCAGCCTATGGACGGCTTTTGGTCCAAGAGACCTTGTCACATCGGCAACAGAGGATCCTATATCAAAGAGTTTTTGCTCCTGTTACATCCAAATCAGTATACAAACAAACAAACAACTTCATCTCGGATTGACATACCATTCCAATTCCATGTGCATCAATAGCCCCCTGTGATGCAGCACCAATCACACTCATCACAGTTTTACCCACCATCACTGGTAGGTGAAATGGCAGAACTGCGTCATCGCGCGAACCAAGTTGCGTGGCATGGCTCATAGACATTTTCCACATCATAGTCTGCAGCCACTGCTGGGTAATCAAGATATCAACCTGTTGAATCTCAAGAACTCCCTCTAGAGAAATAGGCTTGCACAGGTTGGATTGGATGGCGGCAGTTGGAGGCTTCTCCAAAATGCCATCTCCGCCACCGGCCGAGATCCAATCATAAAGGTTCGGGGTGAGGTTCTCAAATATGTTGATCAAGTTGATGAATCCATAAGCCAGGATAGGGTCTTCCGAGCAAAGAACCTGAGGCTTGTGGATAGAACTGCGCAGCATAACCGGCTTCGCTTGCTGGAGAGCGTAACCTCTGCGGATTTACAAATTAGCACCAGTCCAAACCGTTATTAATCATTCAGGACCAACCCACTCACCTCTCTGTAACAAATAAAAGCCAAAACACGCGCCGTTTCTCTTCTGCCTCTTCAACTTCATATTCTGTATACGTCGACTCTCGATGCAACCCTAGGGTGAATGCAAACGAGGTAGCCTGGCACAAAAAGAACCAAGCCTGATCCTGACGATCAAGATTCCCATAAGATACAAATAAAAAGAACGAAGTCAAAAGGGACTCCGTGCTAAGTTCTTCCAGAACATCGCATTCCCGCCGTGCCCGCACGGCCTCCGAAAGGAGGTCTTCCCCAGACATCAACGAGTGTCCGTCCCCAATACTCTGCAAGCGTGGGGGATGAGACCCATTCGTTGGTCCATCCAGCTTTAACTGGATATGCGTAGCCGCACACAGCGATGCCAAAAACGCATACCGCCGCGCAGACAGCTGCCCGGGCTGATGGCAATCCAACCGAAGTTGGTCCCCACGGACAACCGGCATAATTGGGAACAAGTACTTGAGGTAGATATTCACATGAACGAGCAGAATCTGCGGCGAGAGACGACGGGCAATCGGCCTGGCATATCCATAGCCATAGCCAATAGCGGATTCCACAGTTGAATCGGTGGAACCCGGGGACGAGACAAGTTCCGGAGGCGGCAGGTGGGAAAAAGTATCCGAGAAGTCCTGGCCTGCAAACTGCGAGTCTGAGATTATAAACCCTGGCGAGATGGGTGAGTTGAATTGGTAGTCCGGGATCTCGCCGGTGCCGGTATCCTCGGGATACAGACTCTCGGGAGGGTCGAGCCGGGATGAAAGAGGGTGAACCGGGGCTAGGGGATACAGAGTGCGGAATTTGGGGCCCTTGCGACGAAGCACATCGCTATATGAGCAGGAAAGAAGTAGCCGTTGGCACTTATCGCATGGTAGTTCACGAGAACACTTTATTTTGCGACGGCGACAGTTATCGCATGCTTGTTTTGGCTTAGATTGTTTGGTGGACATTGTTGAATTCCTAAGTCTTGGCTAGACTCAGTGGAGCTGAAGTTCATGTTAGGGTTAAAAGAAAAAAAGAAAAAAATGAGCGTGATGTTTCATTCGGGGACTTTTCAGGGTTGGCTCATTATAATAAAAATAATCCCCTTAGAAACCTGGGGAAGCGGGGGGGCAAAGGGAAAGAAACCCCGCAAAGGCCCCTGCGTTGGCGTTATGCTTCATATTTTGATCTTATTCGGGATTTTCCTTCTATTGCTATTCTTACTACTCCTTCTAGATCAAGGGGGCGTTTTCTCTCGGCCCGACTTCTCTATATTGTCTACTTTCCCCCCTCAGCCCTCCGAACTATAAAGATAGACATGATTAAAGATCATCATGAAGATCACCATGAAATTTGACTCATTAAGTGCACTAATACCATTCCAGATTATTCCCCCTATGCATTCTTTGCTTAATATATACTTCATATATAATATGGATACCAAAATCTCGGCCCGTAAGCGAAGACCCCCCTGAATTAGGTACCTTCGGGGCCAAGTCGGCTCTGATGCCTGACATCTTCATAGCGCTGATTGACGGGCGCACTAAAAATCAAAGCTGCGGGATTTTCTCGCCCCGTTTAACCTGGTTAGTATAAGTGGGAACTACTAGTCTTTATTGGGCCTTAATCTCCGCCTGGTGTCTTGATACCCGATCCAATCAATATCTTCACGGCTTCGTTAGCTTGAGTATGGTTTTGGCCATGGACCTCCGCAGATACGGGGTATTTATGTACCGAAATGGATCCTTCTCGTATCCTTCTCGGCTTCCCGAGAGTCCCTAGAAGCATTTTGTCTTCTATGTCTATCATGCAGGGGTTGAAGTGTATATAGTTCCGCTGTGGTGTGGTATACCTCAACATAGTTCTGCATAGTTTCTATAGCTCATATGATTTATACGTAAGTAGAGATGGTACGACTTGGATAATGCTCCGAGGTTCGAGGGTCCTCCCTTCTCCGGGCATCCCGTAGTTATAAGATTCTCCACTAGAGAGAAAGAACTCACCGCAGCTTGGCATATGTGAGATGATAATGATGACATTATAATGTATTAGTGGATTTCTGTATATTAATTCCAGGATCTTTCAAGGTTGTAGTCTGTAGCCCTGTACTATTGCCGACGGACATTTATCGGACAACTAGCCAATCACCAACCTGGAATGGTATGATCTATAATGATCGGCGGTCTTTAAAGCGAATGATATGTTCCGAAGTATCTTCCCCCTGGACAAGGTTGATACCCGTGGACTAGTACACTGCTTACTACTGTTCTCATTTACGGACTATAATTGTGCCAGTTATTGGTCTTTTTAGTATATGTTGTATGTTTTAGTCTGGAGACGTATGTTTTTTTCTTCTAGCAGACTCCAGATTGAATGCAAGTATATTTTATAATATGTGAAAATTAAATAGCATAGTCTAAAACGCACCTATACCCCTCTTTTGGTGTAGGTTATACAGCCCTGTTAGTGCACGACGGTCGACGTAAGGAACACACTCTCTCCACATTTCACCCAGCCCCCCCAGGTTTCTTTAGCTTGAGGCTTGACCAACTGTAGACCAACCCCGCAAAATAATTCAGCCACTCGGCGAGGTATGTGATTGCGGAAAATCAGCGGAAATTTTTTCGGGTTCGGCACATCATCGGTTTCCTGTGTACAAAGCAGGGGGCGCGCAGTGCAGTAGGCCGGTTACGCTCAGAAACTTATAAGAACCAGTTGGGACATGATCATCTGAGACAAAGACCCCTCCTGATCTACAACCGAGTTAGGGAGTCATCATGGTTGGTGTAAAGAAGCTTCTTGTCGGTGCTTGGCTCTTGCCAACAGCTTACGGTGCTTTCTCAACATCCGCCTCCGGCTCGTACTCTGCCCCCTCTTCGACTTCTTCGGGAAAATACTCCCAATTTACTATTCCCGCTAGCGCCGACGTTGGCGCCCAGCTCATCCCTAATATTGATGACCCTGAAGCCGTCGATGCGCAGTCAGTTTGTCCCGGGTACAAGGCATCGAACGTTAAGGAGTCTTCTCGTGGATTGACCGCTACTCTGACTCTGGCTGGAAAGCCATGCAATGTTTATGGTACCGATGTAGACTCATTGGATTTTTCCATCGAGTACCTCGCCAATGACCGCCTCAACGTTCAAATCGTCCCGACTTATCTTGATTCTTCGAACTCTTCTTGGTTCGTATTGGATGAGGATGTCGTTCCCCGCCCCAGTTCCGATCGTCATGCTTCAAAGAAGCAGAGTGATCTTGAGATCACCTGGTCGAATAAGCCCTCTTTTCATTTCAAGGTGACCCGCAAGGCTACCGGTGATGCCATCTTTGATACTACCGGCTCGGTCTTGGTGTTTGAGAACCAGTTTATTGAGTTCGTTACCTCCTTGCCCAAGGATTACAACTTGTATGGCATTGGAGAGCACATCCAGCAGCTGCGCCTCTTGAACAATCTCACTTTGACCCTCTATGCGTCGGATATTGGTGACCCTGTTGATCTGTGAGTTTCATTCCGTAAACCTCCTTTCTCCCTTTTGATGCTGACTACTTTTGCTAGCAATCTTTACGGCTCCCAGCCTTTTTATTTGGACACCCGCTACTATGAGGTTGACCACAAGGGTCATCACACCCTCATCGCAAGTGACAAGGCCGATCAGTCTAAAAACTATGTTTCCTTCTCGCATGGCGTCTTCTCTAGAAATGCCCATGGCCAGGAGGTTATCCTGAGTCCCGAGGGACTGAAGTGGCGCACCCTGGGAGGTAGTATTGATCTCACTTTCTACTCAGGTCCTACCCAAGTGGATGTGACCAAGAACTACCAGTTGAGCACCATTGGCATGCCAGCATTGCAGCAGTACTTTGCTTTTGGATATCACCAGTGCCGCTGGGGTTACAATAACTGGACTCAGCTTCAACAAGTTGTCTCCAACTTTGAGAAGTTTGAAATCCCTCTCGAGACTATCTGGTAAATTGACTCCCCGCGCCTTTCTATGGTTAAAGCCAGTTCTAACATGACTAGGAATGACATTGATTATATGCATGGCTACCGTGACTTTGACAATGATCAAAATCGTTATCCCTACAGTGAGGGCGAGAAATTCCTAGAGAAGCTGCACAACAGTGGCCGCCATTATGTTCCTATTATAGATGCGGCTATCTACATTCCAAACCCCGAGAACGCCTCTGATGCGTAAGTGCCCCTGGACCTATCCTGCAGAAAAAAATGCTGATTTCCACTCAGTTATGATACCTACACTCGTGGGCACAAAGATGATGTCTTCCTGAAGAATCCCGATGGAAGCGAGTACATTGGCGCTGTGTGGCCCGGCTACACTGTCTTCCCCGACTGGCACAATCCCAAGGCAGGCGATTTCTGGGCAAACGAGATCGTTACCTGGCACAAGAAAGTAGCCATTGATGGTATCTGGATTGATATGAACGAAGTTTCTTCCTTCTGCGTTGGCAGCTGCGGATCTGGAAACCTCAGCATGAACCCAACCCATCCTCCATTTTCTCTGCCCGGAGAGCCTGGCAACATTATTTATGACTACCCAGAAGGATTTGAGATCAGCAACAAGACTGAGGCTGCCTCTGCGTCTGCAGCGGCGTCCAGCCAGGCTGCTGCCGGCGCAACTGGTGGCTCTGCGCCTTCATCCACCTCTTATGTGCGGACTACACCCACTGCGGGGGTGCGCAACATTAACTATCCGCCATATGTGATCAACAATGACCAGGATGGCCACGACCTCAGCTCGCACGCTGTGTCCCCGAACGCCACCCACTTCGATGGCGTGCAAGAATACGATGTACACAACCTCTTCGGCCACCAAATCCTCAACGCCACCTACCACGGCCTGCTCAAGGTCAACGAAAAGAAGCGTCCCTTCATTATCGGCCGTTCGACATTCGCAGGTTCCGGTAAATGGGCCGGCCACTGGGGTGGTGACAATGCCTCTAGGTGGGCATTCATGTTCTTCTCCATCCCCCAGGCCCTCTCATTCTCCCTCTTCGGAGTCCCTATGTTCGGCGTCGACACATGCGGCTTCAACGGCAACAGCGACGAAGAACTCTGCAACCGCTGGATGCAATTATCTGCCTTCTTCCCCTTCTATCGTAATCATAACACCCTTTCCGCAAACTCTCAGGAGCCTTATGTTTGGGAATCTGTGGCAGCTGCTACAAGATCCGCCATGAAGATCCGCTACGCAATCCTCCCCTACTTCTACACCCTCTTCCACGAGGCCCACACAACCGGCTCTACCGTCATGCGTGCCCTGGCCTGGGAATTCCCCACAGACCCTTCCCTCGCCGCAGTCGACACCCAGTTCCTGCTCGGCCCCTCAATCATGGTCGTCCCCGTACTCGCCCCTCAAGCCACCTCCGTCAAGGGTGTCTTCCCGGGCGTTAAGAACGGCGAAATATGGTACGACTGGTACACACAAACAGCCGTGGACGCAAAGCCCGGTGTCAACACTACCATCCCTGCCCCGCTCGGCCATATCCCTGTTTTCGTGCGCGGAGGCAGCGTCTTACCGATGCAGGAGCCGGCTTTGACTACAAAAGAGGCCCGTGGTACGCCATGGTCCTTGCTTGTTGCGCTCGGTGGCAGTGGAGCGGCCTCGGGTCAGTTGTATCTGGATGACGGAGAGAGCAATGCTCCGGATGATACGCTCGACGTCACTTTCAAGGTCAAGGGGTCCAGCTTGAGTGTCAAGACAAAGGGTAGCTGGGAGGAGTCCAATCCTCTCGCTACTGTTACTATCCTCGGTGTGTCTAAGAAGCCCGACACTGTGAAGCTTAATGGTAGACGTGTGCCGGCTTCCGGGGTGCACTACAATGCTACTTCGCATGTGTTGTCTGTTGGCGGTTTGCAGCAGTTGACTAAGGAAGGTGCTTTCAGTGAAAACTGGACTTTGAAGTGGTAGATTATGGAATTCTTTCGGAAAGAAATGGGGATACTGTCTTTGGCATGCAAGCCTGCTGTCTTCTTTATAGTTCTATATATAGTCCTATAGTTTATTCAAATGGCAGTTATATTCATCTCTAGAGTTATTTAGTATGTTCTTTCTCTCTTCCCATATCTTCTGGTTATCTTGTTTTCATCCTTATTTAAAAACCAAGCACTCATTGTTAGAGTGCCGGTGAATAGAGAAGAACCCGCACGACCCCCGGTCGCGTTCGGAAACGGACTCCCAAAAGTGCACAGATTCCAATCCATGTCGGGCCGAAATACGAAGCCTAAATATAACTTGTCTCATTTCATACACGTCATCCTCTCGCTACTAGTAGCCTAAAGTTTCCAGTCATGCAACATCCGGGGTATGTGGCCTAAATCATCTTAGTCGCATATGTACCAAGACCGTTAGCATCTCTTTAGCACCTCCGACTAAAGGCCGAAATCTACTTCTTACAAAAGATCGACATCATTTAAAACGAGCCAATAGCCAGCCGCGGGCCCCTCCTCATCCTGATCTCCCTGCAAATTTGGGGTACATATTCCCCCGCGCATGCTGATTCGACCAACGCCCGTGTCAGGGGCTCCGACAGGGATTACAGGGATTATTTCATTTCGCACATGCCGTGTCCTGCGTTGTAAGCCGAGCTAATGATATCAAGGTTATGCACGCATCTATACTATTGTAGCTTTGCTTTTTCCCCGGGGGGAATCAGGATTTGACGAATCTGATGTGAAGGAGGATGTTTGTTTTGGGAGATGATCTGTCAATTAATTATGGAGTTCAAGAAGGGCCATACAGACCTCTCCTTCTGCTTCGTCTTGGATTCTTCTAGGGCTAGGGACGGGCATTTAGAGGGAATTATCTTTCATTTACAGATGAATCTGTGAAGATCTTCGCCTGGGCTTTTGGCGTTTATTGGCTTAAGCCATACCCTCCTCCCGCTATCTGATTTCAACGGTTATTGGTCTCTGGTATCCTCTAGTCCTCTATTCTATGCATGGCTTTTTCGGGGGTATTTATACTAGGTCCCTTGCAGCGATATTGTTGTTGAGTATCCAACGACTTGCCTCTGTTTTGCTAAGTTATCGGTGTTGAAATATCTACAAGATGGTTCTCGCACGATTTGCCTGGCTTGCCGGCTTGGTTGGCACTGCCATTGCTGCTACCCCGGCTGAATGGCGCTCTCAGTCGATCTACTTCATGCTCACTGATCGCTTTGCCCGAACTGATGGTTCGACTACTGCTGCTTGTGATACCGATGAAAGAGTGAGTATCTATCTATGCGTTGGCTCTATGATATTGAGACAAAGCTAACTGTACTCACCGGATAGAAATACTGCGGTGGAACATGGCAAGGAATCATAGACAATGTCAGTAACTCTCTCGACCTTCCTATATCATCCAACTAACCAATCTCCTAGCTGGACTACATCCAAGGAATGGGCTTCACGGCCATTTGGATCACACCCGTAACCGGTCAGTTGACTGAGGAAACCCCGTACGGAGAAGCCTATCACGGATACTGGCAGCAGAACATGTGAGTATCACAAAGCAGAAAATACAGTGAAAACCTGCATCCCACTGACCAACCTAAGCAACGCTCTTGATCCGAACTACGGAACTGCAGACGATCTCAAGGCTCTTGCTGAGGCTTTGCATAAACGCGACATGTATCTCATGGTCGATGTAGTAGCAAACCACATGGTGAGTCAAATATTTCATATCCCTAATTATCTGGGCTGAGACTGACATGTATTGGACAAAAAGGGCTATGATGGCGCAGGTGCTGATGTGGACTACTCCAAATTCAATCCCTTCAACGACGCAAAGTATTTCCACACCTACTGTCCAGTCACTGATTATGACGATGACACCAATGCGCAAACCTGCTGGCTTGGTGATGATAATGTTTCGCTACCCGACCTCAACACAGAAAGCACAGAGGTGCAAGATATTTGGTATGACTGGGTTGGAAATCTCGTTTCTAACTACTCGAGTAAGTTGTTATTTAAAATACCGCTGCTTCAGGAATATATATGTATATTGCCATATTCAGAGAACTAACTGAGATACAGTCGATGGTCTCCGCGTGGACACAGTCAAACACGTCCAGAAAGATTTCTGGCCTGGCTACAACAAAGCTGCGGGCGTCTACTGCGTAGGAGAGGTCCTTGATGGCGATGTTGATTATACCTGCCCATACCAAGAAGTAATGGACGGAGTACTCAACTACCCAATGTGAGATCCCGCTTTCCCGTGAAATTTATCGGACGCACAGGAAGAACCAAAGCTAATCATGAAAATAGTTACTATCCACTCCTGGCCGCCTTCCAATCAACCACAGGAAGCATGACCGCCCTATACAACATGATTAATACTGTGAAATCGACCTGCAAGGACTCAACCCTTCTCGGAAATTTCTTGGAGAACCACGATAACCCTCGCTTTGCCTCGTAAGTGGAAATAAAATCAAAGCAACAGATAATCATTTCATCTATGTCTAGAAGCTGACATCTCTCCCTCGGGAACCCAGCGTGACCGACGACATTGCCCTCGCCAAGAACGCAGCCACGTTTACCATCATGACAGACGGCATTCCTATTGTCTACGCAGGGCAGGAGCAGCACTATAGTGGCGGTGAAGACCCAGCTAATCGTGAGGCCCTCTGGCTGTCTGGATTTAACACCGACAGCGAGCTGTACAAGCTCATTGCAAAGGCCAATGGTGCTAGAAATCAGGCGATTTCTAAGGGTACCAACTATACTATCTACCAGGTATGTGCTCATCTCGCTTTTTTGCTTAAAGGAAGAAAAGAAAGTAGGGGGGAAAATACTAATTCAGGCTTCACAGAACTACCCAATCTATAAAGATGATAGTACCATCGCCATGCGGAAGGGCTTTGATGGCGGGCAGACAATCACCGTCCTAACAAATCTCGGCGCAGGAGGTAAAGAGTACACAGTTTCGATTCCTGATACTGGATTTGAGGCTGGTGACGAGTTAACGGAGATTGTGTCCTGTGCCACTGTTACTGTTGCTGAGGGCGGAGAGGTGCCTGTCCCTATGGCGAGTGGAGAGCCGAGGATTTTGCTCCCTGCCGCTTTGCTTGAGGGTTCAACTCTGTGCTCGTCATAGAATGCTAGTTCGAGAGATTGGTGGTTGGGTCGAAACCAGACTACCCGTTTGCTCTCTCGGGAGCTCTTGATAGATAGATCTTTTTTTTTGACTAGTTAGCATCTGTGATCCTTTCTTCCCCTTTGTTGACAATAGAAGAAAGTGTATATATGACTTGATTGGTTTTTTTTGTATTTCCTTTCGAATTACTTATAGATGTTATATCATGTGTTCCTTTGATAGTTAGATTGAAGATATGACAGTTCAGGAATGCTAAATGGAGGACGTGTTGGAAAGAAGCCGAATCCTGCATAATGCACTATGCATTATCCTGTCAGGTTTAATGCTAGTGCAAACAGCCCAGAAATAAATTAAGGCTGTATATCTTAGGCTGGCCTAGATATGTAGGCCACCATAGGACAACAGAGAATCCGTTGACCGCTATGTTGTGTCTCGGATCCAACTTGCAATATATTATTCCCTCTGGTTGCATAGTTTCCAATATTAGAGGGCTTGCCTTATTCTCTCTGGTTCCTACCCATTTACCATCTGTCAGGATGTATTGAAATAGTTGAAAAAGGATGCATTATATGAGCGATGTGGGGTAGAAAGCTATACACAGCTGTAGGTAAGATATACCACTTTGGTCAATAAAACCCCGCAACATGAAATCTTACTAGAACAAGTCATCATTATCTCCATTTGTGCTTTTGCTATTGCGATCCTGCGCCAGAAAAGAAAAACACAACACAAAGCCCAAGTGCGAACAAATCATCCCCAATATCAATTAAACATGCGCCCACATCACCAACTCCAATACCATATAAACAAAAGCCAACCCCACTATCCCAACCACCAAATCACCAATCATGCAAAGCCCTCGGCACCAGGCCAACAGGCATAGCCCCACCAGAAGCAGCAGCCCCAGGAGAATGATGAAACAAATCCGGCGCCTCAAATCCAGGTTGGGAAGCCGCATACGCAGGCATCATTTGCTCAAGACAATTATATCCCTCAACAAGAGAATCTAAGCCCTCTGTGCCAGACATAAGCTGCGAAAGATCCATCCCGGGACGATGATGTTGCGGCGGACTGAACATATGCACTCCCTTGACATCGGCAACTGGCGACGACGAATGAGACCCCGTAGCAACAACAGCTGTTGCCTCCGAGTACCGCCGCTGCACTTCGCCAACAATACACGCAATCCGGTACGAGAGGTTATCGCCGCCTGGGGCGAGGTGCAGTAGGAAGCCGCGGACTTGGCTGATCAGTGGGTCGGTGAGCGTGTAATCACAGAGTGTAAGCGCGGCATATCCGACGATGAAGTAGACATGGTCGATTAAGGAGGGTGCGGAGGTGAAGCGGGTTTGGAGGAATTGGGTTATTATTAGGCGGGCCGTGGCGCATATTTCGGGGAGGAGGCGCTCGTTGTCGGGTTGGAGGCGGGCGGCTGATCGGTGGAGAAGTAGTTGGCAGAACCAGAGGTTGAGATTGAGAGTTGAATCTTCGCTGGTGGCTGTTGGGAGGGTGGTTGTTAGGTTGGGGTTAGGTTTGCATGGGCGGAGGGTTGATGTACTTAGATGTGCCCATTCCATCTTCCAGCGCTCCAGTTCTTCGTATTCGGATTCTGCGAATTGGAGGCGGTGCTGGCTGTGTTGGAGTCGGAGGGCGATGCGGTATAGTTGGATTTCTGCAACGATTCTCCCGTCTTCTGTTGTGGCGCCTGCGTGTTCTAGGATGCGGGGACATTGGTCGATATATTGTTGTTGGATGTTGACAGTGCGGCCGTTTGCGAGAGCAGAGCTAATAGGTTAGTGTTAGGTTATATATTCAATAGTTTGATCGGACAGAACATACTGTAGCTGGGTTGCGCAGAGTGTATTCCACAGACGCAGCTGAGCAAGTAGCTCGTCCGGGTTTAAACTGTCTCCTGGCAAGGTATTGAGGAAGTTGAATGTGATTAGGGCATGGTTGATCGAGATCCCGCTCAGTAACCAGTCGTCCATAAGTCCTTCTTTGTGAATAGAAGTAGAGTATAAACAAAGCAATGTCAACGCCTGCAGCATATCGCTTGTCAGAGGCGGGGGCTTCCACAACACCTTTGCCACGGCATGCTGTACGTGGAGTGAGATGTCGCGGACAGTTTGCTGTGGTAGGCCAGGCATATAGCGCGAAGCTAGGAGACATGCAGTGTTGAAAAGGAGGGTATTCGACCGTTGGATATTGGACGAATGATTTATTGAGACCCAATGTCCGAAATATTCGACGAAACTGGTGAGATCATTAGCAGGGAAGTCCGGTTACAGACACATAATCAGACACACAGTTCAATCAATTTCATGGAAAGCTTGGAATCTACGATTCCCTGGGTGACGATGTCTCCGAGGATATCCGCATCGGACAAGTGATTTCTCTCGCCGAAGCATTCGGCTTGCAGGTCTCGAATGAGCTGTGCTGGCTTGAGCGGATAGAAAGATGAGGACATGCTATCGTTTGAAGATGTTCCATCTATGCTGTCACTTCTGGCCTGCAAGGTTGGACTGCAGGACATGCTAGGGGAGCGGTTTACTATCTGTCGCATCAGATGTATCATCTCCCCCATGCCTCGTTCGAGAGAGACAAGCCGTTCCTCGATCGATGGTACAGCAGTAGCGTCAGACCAGGTTGATGCATTGTCCTGGAACCGCTCTGTTGTCTCGGGGAGCTCGCATTCAAGCCTTTTATGACAACAATCAGCATATAAACAAACGGAAGACTCCAAAAATAGCATCAAATGGCCAAACAAACCTAAGTGACAAACAGCGACGACAAGCATGACCACGGGGATCCACATCACAGCGAGTCTTGAGCTTGCGACAGGTATTACAAGCAGTCATTGATCGTCGAATACGCCCTTTTGGCCTCGCATCTTGACATGCGACCGAGTCGATTCTGCTGCCATCATCTGGAATAATGCTCTTGGTTTCCCACGAGATAGAATTATTTGTAGGGCCTGTTCTCGTCATTGCATTGGATGTTGAATGGTTACTGTGGGTACTGTAGGTATTGTATGTACTGTAGGTACTGTTTAGGTAGACCGTCTATGCCTGATCGACAGGGAAAGATGAAAAGTTGGAGTAGTAGAAAGAAATGGGTCAATGATCAACAATTGCACCCTTAGCAAAAGCCCAAAATCGAAATCCTGAAGATCATTTGGTGTCTATCAGGGAGATCCAAGCCTTATAATAGCGGGTCACTAGACTGACTGAGGGCTCTTAGCCAATTGCGACAAGAGACTGATTACTGACGATATCGAACTCCGCGCAGGTACATTCCCGTTCATGGCGGATTATGGCGGACCATAGCGGACCTGGGGTAATCGAATGTGCACCCACCAATCTGAAAAAAAATCTCCTGGTCTTCTAGAAAGGTAGCGATTGTCGGTGCAGACTTTCAAGAGGGGTTGATAATGTCGCATTGACTACCCTGCCCCCAATTTGCCCGACGAGAACCGTAGGAGAGGGGGTTTAAGGGGGATTGAGTGGCACGATCTATACTAGATACGTCCTTTCGTGTTTCGATTCTTAACTTGTTGATCTATTTCACTAAAGTCCCGAGGTTATCGTGAGAATCTTTCACCTTTTTTTTTCCACTTTTTTTCCCCTATCTAATTCAACTGGTTTTTCTTATTTTTTTTTTCCTCTTGTTCGGAGGTGTCCGACATAAATAAGATCTAGACAGGGATATAGAGTAAGAATTACAGACTCCATAGTATGATTTGGCAGTCCCCCTGGTTAAATTATCATTTAGTGGGGGGAGGATCAGGATCTAAGTGGGGAGAGACAACAGGCAAAGAGCAGTAACTCGGTAATCATTGGCTAACATGTGCAATGTCTCAAAAGAAATGCCTATCAGGATTGAAAAGTCACATCAATGTGACCTTGTAAGTTTCCAGGCCCGGTTAACAACGGGTATCTTGCCGGTTAACGCCTTCTAAGTGGCTGTTCTTATTTAGTCTAATTTGGTCTTCTCCTTTAAGAACCTTGAGATATCGTACTTTTCAGCCGGGTTCTTTGGCTACTTTTGATTGGATTTCGCAGGTGAATCACTGCCCCATTTTAATTATGATTAGCCTCAAAAGCAAAAATAGAGGTGTGGATGATGCCCGGGAAATTCTTTATCAAATCATTCATATGATTGACAGCGCCCATCGCATTATGGAGTAGAATTTAAGAATTGACTTCAAACCTTTTAATATCCAATATCGTTGGGCTCGGGGCTCATTAAAACACCGGCCCGGGAATGCAGCCCTAGTGAGTATTTCCAGTCCTATATTTTTTTTTGCTAATCGCTCAACGCTGAGTGGCAATGCGGAAGAATATATAACAGTCACCCGAGCAAATCACCCGAGGTACCTTTCACTGCTTATGAAGGATCCACTCTATCAAATATAACTTTCATGCAGAGGGCTTGCTGCCTGCCTTTCTGGGTGTTAGTGTTCTTTTTGTCTTGAATCTTGAACGCGGGAAGCTCGGATAAAGAAGCGGTCAGTTTAAATCGTTGAATGTATTTAATGTATAATGCATTTCATATAGGATCAAAATGTTGAATTGCGGCTTGGCTCTGTTGAACTCTGGGGTAATCGTGGGCTGGGCTGGTCCACAGACCTTGACAACGAACTAGCCGACATTCACCTCGGTCTGACCGTTATCAGGACCCCAGATTAAGCTGCATTATGCGAGTTGTATCTCTTGGGTTTATTATTGCGTAAAATTTTCACCATGGCGTAGCGCAATGGGCCGATCAAGCTATGCCCAGAGATTCGGCGATGCGCCTCAAACGCCTAAAATGTGAACATGGAATCATCGGTGGCGTGGTTTTAGTTACGGTTTTGATCAGGAGGTAAACAAAATGCTCGACTGAATGCTAAACAAACACGATTTGAGATATCGCTTTTTTTTCCACTTATCTTCCCAGGTTCGGAGAAGCAACCCTCTAGGATCTAGACGAAAAGATACATTCTAGAGCACGCCGATCACGTCAAAACGTCTCGCATATTGATACTGAGAAAGTATATTGCCCGCTTCTCGACGGCACATAATTTGGTAAGCATCCACGGTGCATAAGCGGAAGCAGAACCTACATAAAGCCACAACCCGTGGACCCCTCTTATGATGAATCGACGTGGGGTCGACAGCGCAATGCAGTCAGATCAAGCTGTCCACCTAGACAATGTCTTATTGGTTGACTGAAAGTTTCCCCCCTTTTCCTTATTGCTTCTCTGCGTCTTCCTTGCAGGTCCATCTGACCACACATCCTCCAATGAACAATTGTCGTGGAGCCACAGGACTCGGGTTTAACGTAAAAGTCCCATGTCTGTTTTCAAGCTCGCAAACTAGGCGACTTTCGACTTGGTGCCCAGTAAGGCAGACACAGTTCTCGATATGGTTACCTGCAGGGAATAGGTACGTTCCAAAGATAAGGACTATTTTGACCGTTAGCTATCCCTGTCTTGCTTAGAGAGATGAGCTGGAAGCACATCTTTTGTGATGTAAATCTTTCGGTCCTTGTCTAGAATTAACACGTATTATTGCATCTTTGATTGATGTCAGTCCAAATCCTGCATGCTATAAACTCCTTTTATGTTTAACATAGCATTCCCATACAATCCAACATGTACGGAGTAGTTATATGAGCTTTGTTTGACATACATAAGCTTTAAGCTTGGATAATTCCCTCGCTAGAGTATGGACAAAAAGACCCGGGGTTCCCAAGACCCCGAAACCCCGGTGCCTACTATCGGCTATGTAGTGTTGCAAGAGCCGGAACGTTTTATCTAGTTCTGGAAGTTCCGTAGTATTTCCAGGATCGCCGCAGGATAAGCCTCGCTTAGAAATTAAGTTTTCGAATATGTATGTCGAGAGTATGTGGATATTGAAGCTGCAGTTATATGCTTTTATTTTAAATTGCGTCCCCGCCTCAGCGCTTGGGAGACTATTTAGATTATGTCTATAATGTGCAATCTACACGTGTACATTGCAGCTGATGAGGAATATTGTTGCGTGGACTCGTCATTCATCGCATTTCTGCGCACTGCCTTGACATAGTCAGACTGATCGCCCAATGCCTAGGTACCGTTCTTCTATGCATTTATCCCCCTACGATTCGCCTTACATATGAGACTTTTCGTGGTTCGGCTTCCCTGCGAATGATTCCCATCTCGATAGGACCGGAATGTTTTGTCTGTCTTTTTCTGCTCTTGTCGGCTGTCAGATTCCTTCTCTTCTGGCGTTGAGGTATATGTGACCAGACTCGAGAAAAAGAGAACATCAGATAAATCTCTTCCCAACAACTAACTCTGCGCAATTCTACAGCCCCAACAACTCGTTTAGGCTCTTTCTTATGAAGCAAAAAGAAAGAAACACAAAAAAGAATAGTGACCGACGCAGGGATCGAACCTGCAATCTCTTGATTCGTAGTCAAGCGCCTTGCCATTGGGCCAGCCGGCCTGTTGTATACTGAATTGGTCAAAATGTGTACTGAAATGTGGGTCTCGCTTCTCTCGCTTAGACACGCTTATCTTATTTTGCACGTGACCCGATCTATCGGAGTGGTAGTCGCAAACATGATTTGACAATTCAAGGCTTATAGACTCGGTTTTTGCATATAGTTGAGTGATTCTGCTTTCTGTAGTCTCACTGCCTTTTTTCAGGCATGTTTTGTGGTCTTATTCCTATCTCGACTGGTCTGGTAGTGACACATAGGGGTTATTAAGTCTTTACCTAGTTAGCCATTTCCGCACCAAAACTGACCAAGTTTGAACCCTATTCTCTCAATAAATTTATATGGGGACGTACTTTTTAGATATCTTTATACTAATTATCATTCCAACTCTATGGTAAATCACATATAAATTATCTCGGAAAATATTTTAGATAGAGAGTGAACAATTTTCAAAACTTGACAAAAGATTCTGATCGCGAGTTTAGTATGGGAGGCATTATATATAATGGAGATTCACCTTGATATTTGGATTTCAATCAGTTATCACTTGACAACCACATATATTAGATCACTCAGAAAGAAATATTTTGTCATTCTGATATTAATGTTTTATTAAAAACCATCTAAAAAATTATTACCATATAAATTTCTTGAGAGAATAGGTTTCAAAGTTGGTCAGTTTTGGTACGGAAATGGCGAGTGGGTAAAGACTTTGTGGCAGGGTCTGTAATATGGAAACAAGGTTAGTAACTACACAAAAATTGAAATATTGCTGGTGTTGAGAATTGCCAGTGTGGAGTTGGACAGGGCATAGATATAGTCAATGTATTGAGTGGAGAAGGTTGTTATGAAGGGATGTTATCCAGGGGCCACATGAGCGCTATATGAGGAAGACATCATGTGTTTAGTGTTAGAACAGTTGGAAAATTGATGCTACCATAAAAGGTTGTTATACATGGTCAAGGTTAGAAGATTGCTGTCCTGTTGCAGACTTGAAAGAATGTAAAAGAAAAGCAATGATCGAAATGACCACCCCTGGTGAGTCCAGCAATACACTAGATTTGCCTAGGAGATATGATTGTACCCTAATCTGGACGTCATACAAGAGCGACTGAATTACATATACCAACTTTATTATACGTTGCAAACCTTTGCCTTGTGTACTGGGTTGCCCAATGTGGCCTTTTTTTTCAGCATACAGTGACAAGAAAATGATTTATTTATTTTTAGATCAGAGGAATATCACGAGCATTCTGTAACATTGCACCGAAACTAGGGGAGATAGTAGAGTTATCTTAAGGCTCGCTAACTTGAAATAATAAACCTACAGGAAACACTTTTGAAAATGGCCCTAGAGAAAGATAATGGACAAGTTGAGTGTGTATGACCCTTTTCCTCTAAATTATATAATTTCTACATAGCCTAGGTAGGTATAACCAAGATAGACACGCAATTTATTAATAGATACGTATAGAATTTCCAAAAATCCGAGATATTGCATGTTGACACTGAAGCAGCGAAGGCAAGACCAAAGGAAGAACCACCCATTCGAGTCCTAATTCCGAACATAGAAGACATCATGGTTAGACCACGAAGCGGAAAAGGAATTACAAATTATGTCTTGACAAAACATATACCACAACTGTTTATAAGCAGGGATTCCAGTTGTCTGACGTTACTTAGCCTAATGCACTCGTGTACCAAAGTTAACCGAGTTACCTAGATAGGAAACCAACCAGAATAGAATCATCTACTAAAAGTCAGGTCAAATCCCATGCTTACATACCAGTGCAGCAGTCTGACACCAATCACACCAACGGTGCATTAACGTGCCTGGATGGAATGCGCGAGCTTCCCTACTCCATAGATACCCGAGAAGCGATATGCATTAATGCGCTTGGATGGTATGCGCAACCTTCTAGATATCCGAGAAGCGATATGCATTAACGTGCCTGAATGGAATGCACGAGCTTTTAGATACCCGAGAAGCGATATGCATCGACAGATCATACATTCCCCTTTATTTTTCTTCGTGGCATTGCATGTGTAGGTAACACAAATGGCTCGGTGGTCTAGGTCATAAATATTTTATGCATAAGACTAGCTGATGCCTTTCTGTGCTTCCACCCTTGCAGAACTGTGATAGCCAGGAGAGGACTGTGACACACAGATGAAGGCGTGGCTCGATATCAGATATATATCATCTCTGAGAGCACATACATGATGTATAGAGTACGGACTACGGAGTAAATAAATGCATGACACTGCTGTCTCCTGTTTGAGATTGGTCGCCCAACAGATGAGTGGTTGGTAGTCAGCGGGTGGTATGCATCATGCAACATAATCGTGAAGTCTATCTATGTACTCCGTACCTACTCCGTAGGGCTAACAATAATAAATTTTATTTTAGGGTGTGGCAAATCATTCCCTCATTTCAAACGAATAGGCAGCATCAAACCTGTTTTTTTTTGTAGGCACAGAAGATCTCAAACTCCCTATGAACTCACAACCACACCCACAGCCCGCAAGCCCACGCCTTACATACAATATTGAAAAGACGGTCTGTATACTCCGTAGGTATATTATATTCCAGCTGCTATACAAAAGAATACAAGCGGCTATCTCGTCTACAGCACATAACACTAGTCCACAATAAAACAAATCCCCGGGCCAAGACCCCGAAACAAGGTGGCAACGCAAATGTCAAAAATGCCATCACGGCCAGGCTAAGCGGTACTATTGATCCTACTACTACAAATAATAGGTGTCGAACGGTGGGTCTGTCGATCCTTCATCTGGGATTAATATGGCAAGATTCAATAGTTTGTGTGAGGCTTAGACGGAACTAAATCGAGATCGTGGAAGTCGTCTCGTAGGTACTCCCTAGCGAGGAACATCTAAAAATGGACTACCTACAAATAATATGACATTAGATCCAAGACAGGTTGCTCAAGGGTTTCAACTTCAAATGCCACTTCAACACGAAAATTGATATCCAATATGTGGATCAGATCATATCATATATATATAATACAGCTCCGCGTACTCCGAACCGATCCATTTATTCAACAATATGTACGGAGTACGGAGTACTACATCTACACTACATATGTTGTACGAGGTACATCATAAGCACTCCGTATATAGTCCTAGTAGTACAGCATGGTTCTACGGAGTATACGGTGAGACTAACGCTCGGACTAGCCACCCATCGATCTCCACGCGATCATCTCAACCCAAATCCTGACATGAGACAGCTCACAAATCCCGCAGTTGACACCTCCGAAGAAAACAGAAAAAAAAAAAAAAATGCCACACCTCCCATCACACCAAGAAGGACTGTGATCGACACGCACGTCTCATATTAAGGCCAAAACGCCCATGTCACACCAGCCCAGAAGGGAATACGCACACATATGTAGCACCCAACATATATGTACGACGTACGGAGTACGGAGCACATAAAAAGTACTTGCCTAGCATAGCTTCAAATGTGCATACTTGTACTTGCACACAACGAAGTGTCAGACGCCGATTTCACCGCTATATGATGGGTCGGATGCACGTATTTGGATACCGATTCGCCAAGTGGAGGGTGGGGGGGATTTCACCGGACTCGCGAGAGACCGAGAGCGGGAGCGGAAACGGAAAGTGTAAAGCGCATAACCGGGGTTTGATTGGGCTCTTGTTTTGGATTAGTTCACAAGTGACAGAGACAGGGCTGAGAAGGGGCAAAGGTAAGGGAGGGGATTAAGGTTCCCATGGACTGTGATTCGGTCAAGCTCGATCAAAAGCTGTACGTGGTATGCACGCTGCACGACTTTTGTTGGGTGTTTTTTTTTGCTTTTTAGATCGGCCAGTCGTGGGCGCCGGAGATACTTGATATGCTGGGGCTTTTGTTGGTGGCTTGCATATCCGTTGTCCACTACTCTGTATCTGGGACTGTGTTTCGGGGTTCATCCCCTGTTGGTATAGATCCTGTAGATATGCTGTAGGTATATTGAGGTTATGGATATGGGTATGGGATGCTTGCTTTTTTTTTTGAGGGGGGGGGGGGGGGGGGGGTTTGGGGTTTGCTTTTTTAAGATGTTGAGGTACATCGTGCATTCTAGATATGCATGATTTTGCTATTTACTTATTTCCAGTAGAATGGATGTAACTGCAACCCTAGTGCCGTTTTTCTTGTTTTTGGTTCATTGGATGCACGTTGAATATCACTTTTATAATATGAGTTCAAGTGGGTTATAGTCCCCTCACTGGAGTCTCAAATTTGGAGATATGTACTCTGTCCTCCTGAGCGGTATAGTATAGAACCTACATCGTACATTTTACCCACCCTTGCAAAGGATTTAATGCTACTCGGTAGGATGGCCGAATCCCAAGATCTGCAATCAATTTTTTAGGGTCATGTCAGGATCCCATAATTGTGTCTTCCGGTGGTAGTTCGGGAAAATCACAAAAAAAGAAAATAAGAAAATAGGAAAAAAGAAAATCATGAATAGCACCTCTCCAATCTCTCAACCAGGTACGATTAGTAATGTGATGTGATTTGAAGAAAATTCCACCTGTCTCAGTTCCCAACAATACTCGGATATGTCTCAGAATACAGGATGTCAGAGAGGCAACAAAGGAACTCCCAAAGGAGGTTAATAATCCATAATTAAGCCAATTGTAAATGTTTAATTAATATATTTAGCTCCACATGGAAAATTAAGTCAACCAGTGGTTAAATACGATATAACGGGGACTGTCAAGGGGAAAAGCCCGATCAAAACCCCGATCAGATCGAATGTGGAGCTCACGTGGCACACTAGTGGAATGTAGACTAAAAGGTTCCATGGTCTGAGATGGCTCTGGTGTGGATTTGTGGACCTTTAGATTTGTGGGAATCCACGGTACTCCAACGGAGAGGCCGAAAAACTTGAAGTTTAAGTTATATAGTCTACAGCTGTCAGTTTTGCAAGGTATGTTGAAGTTATGTTGTAGTATCTTCGAATTTTATATAAGATTCGATGCAATGCAATGTTTGTATAACAAACCAGACCAGAAGAGCAACTCATATCTACATCCTAGCCACGAGCAAATCCTCACTGTTCAAAAGATCAAAATGAACAAAGACCGTGGTAGAGAAGTTTAATATTCGGTGACTCGACGTCATATAGAATATAATATAAAAAGTCAAACATGATGTCGATCTTCCAAAGTTGACACCTGGGCATATACACAGGTGGAGTAAGGTATGGAGTATCCTATAGAAATATCCACTAGTTTACGGGTCTATCAATTTGAAATTCAGTGACAGCCCACGGTCCCAGGCTTCCGGCCCGAAAACTATTCTTTTTTTTTTTCAATGGCAAGTATTTTCCGATTTTTAGGGAAATGCCTCGAGAGAGGGGAGAAAGGGAAAATGTCAAAGGCCTAGGTACTTTTGACATTTATATTGTATAGACATAAATAGATTAGAGTATATTTAACCTAGTCTACAGGCTTGCAAGACCATGAAGACCGTCAGCGTTGAAAGAGAGAAAAAGAAAATTGTAGCGCTACGAGCTCCTGGTAAGGTCCACGTTTTCTCTTGATGCGAGGAAGAACATGGGATAGGTTAGTGCCGATGGAGAGTAGTGGAGACGGGTTGCGCGGTGGGCGGCTGGGATCTGATCCGTACTTGGTATTTCCGTATTGCTTGACATTTGATATTCAGGTCCGTATGCTTATCTAGGTGAAGTAGAGAGTAATAACGATAAAAAAAAAGAAATTTGTGCAGATTCGAAAGTCGATGCTTCCTCTAAACACCTAATAATGCAATTTTCGCTGGTTTTATCCAGGGCACTCGAAGGAAAATGCGGTGCAACATGAAGAGAAAAACAAAAAGTAGAGTAAATCACAGAAATGATTCAATGGAATTCCTGCCAAAATTTGTCGTATACCCCTGTTGCCTGTTGCCAACAAAATAAGTTCCCACTTGGTAAACGCAACCAAAGAGGAAGGGTATCAAAATATAATGTTTGCGCAAAGTCTTCGTACCGGACGGCAATGCGACATGTAGAGTGAAGTCCAGAGACCTGGAAGGTGAGAAAGTAAAAAAAAGAACACATAGAAAGAAAGAAAAATGCCAGTCTATCAAGCTCGCTGTATCCTCAACCCCATGAGTCATAAATGGTAGGGAGAAACAATAAAAGCCTCCCAGTCGTAAAGTGAGTAAAACGCTGACGTTGCGAATGCTGTGACGTTGAAAAATGAACAGAGAAAAAGAAAAAAGAAAAAAGAAAAAAGAAAAAAGCTTTGATCAAGCCCGAACCTCTAGGTCCAGGTTCATCTCTAGTGATGAGAGGGCATGTGCTCTCCATCAACATCACTGAAAGGCGACTGTCGTTGAGATTCAGTATCCGCACCACTGCGCATTTGGTTCCGCAGCGCAGGAAGCTGTCGTCTCCGAGCATTGATAAACCAGTTACTAATCTGTATTTAAAAGAAAAGAAATATTAGCAAACCAGCCACATAAGCAACCTAATTTCCACTCTGCAATTGACAAAGTGCTCACCTGACTAATCGAAAGCCCCGTCCTCGTCATAAACATCTGCTTATCCTCCTCACTTGGGTAAGGATGATCAAGATGCTCATGGAACCAAGCCCGCAAAATATCTGTAACAGGCTTGGGCAAATTCCCCCGTCTTCGCTTCGTCTTAGGATCAATCGGATCCCCCATAATCCCGAAATTCCCCTGCCCATGCCCCATCATCTGGGGCGACATCTGCTCATCCGCATACCCGATGGGATGATGCCCATATGGTGACTGTGGATGCATGATGGGTCCAGCAAAGTGCTCGCCGCGTGGATGCGAATCAGTGGACATCACTGTTGCCGTCGGTCCGGGCTGGCGGTATTCCTGGGCGACGAAAGGGTCGGAGCGTGGGGGCCGCTCAGAGTACCCTTTGTTGGAGGATGGGTTCATTGCTCGGCCGGCGTCCAGGTCACGGATTGGGGGGAGGATTGGGCTGGGACCGCGGGATGCGTTTTCGGATAGATGCATGTGGTGGTGGCCTGTATCTGGCATCCGGGGTTGATGGTCTGCACCGCGGGAGACTGTGTATTCGCGATGAGAATCATAGGGCATATTGCTGGATTGGTTGCCATATGGGATTGAGCGGGGGTCGGCCATTTCGTGGCCTGAAGGTGGGCGCTCTTGTGAGTGGCGGGGGGTGGTGTAAAATGGGGAAGTTGATTCGATTTCATCGTGGAGGTGGGCGGGGAGGAGCTATGGAATGTTAGAATTTTCTAATTTTTTTCTCAGGTTATATTTCTTCGAGGTATATATTACCTCGCGGAATGAGGGGAGGGTTTGGTGAGGATGTCCGGTTGACGACTGGGTTGTATACGAAATAGCCATATCGGTATCTTCGTCTATCTCATGGGACTGTGACATAGACAAGGTGTTTGGGGGACAAGAATAGAAAATGTCCGTAGCAAAGAGTTTCACAACGTATTACAAGATAGACAGGATATAACTATACTCGACACGGTCAGAATTGAATACCAGACGGGGAAGTTTGTAGTTCAAAAGATCGAGACTCCAGAAAAAGTTGCCAAACGGAAGTGAGGGGCGAAAGTAGAGAAGCACTCACCAGGGAAAGCAGGCTGATTTTACGTTGGCATGATAAGTGAAAAAAAGAAGAGAAAGGCCAAGATTATATGCAAGGTTGGGGAATGAGGGTAGAGATGGAAATGCAGTTTCCCAAATAATGCAGGGCCTACATTATTTCAAAAAAAAAAGTCGCCCCAAAAAAAAAACTACATTAAATTAAAAAAATATATAAAAAAAAACAATTAAAATAAAAAGAGACATCCAGCTGTTACATGTCCATGGAAAAGCAAGAACAGGGGGGGCCGAAAAATGACGATCGTGGGCTTTGGTGGGTACATCGGAGGACCACCGTGTCAAGGGCATGCAGAGCGGAGAAGGGGGCGTAAATCAGAGAGACTCTTAAGGTTGACAGATAGAGTATCTTCTTTTTTTTTCTATATAGTCTTAGCGCTAGGATTTATCTCACGAACTACTCCCCGATATATTATATTTTAGGGGCTCCAGGCTTTTAATTGGTTTCGGTGCAAAGGAATTTGTTTAGCAAAATAGAAATATATATTAACAATTTTTTTTTTTTTTTAATTTTTGTCTAGATCACTAGTGTGTACGTCAAATTTGGGGATCCCATACCAGTGCTTATGAGCCAATATTGTCATTACTCTAAAAAATAGATCTTTCACCTTTTGAATCAAAAAGACAGAACAATGTACTCCGTACTTTACTTTCAACTGTACATAAGAGATTAAAAGAAATTATAGGAAATGGAGAAAGAGAGGATATACGACACGGGAGTAAGGAGGTGGGGGATTCTGTCATAATGTGCCTGAGTCAGGCTAAAGCTAATTATATTTGAATTAAATATATTAAATCAAATCACATATTGCTTTTTCTGGGGGATCTGGGAGATTTTAGGTACTCCCCGTAGTTCGTAGTACATCCACTGCCATGGACTTGGAAAATCCAACTTGACTCCAAAAATATAAACCAATCCCCCTTTGTATAGGAGTTTTTTTTTTACTAAAAAAAAGAGCCTAAGCTGGATATTTCAGATGACTCCAAATCAAAGGAAAAGATCGCCGCTTTGAAGGAGAGTTGTCACTGGTTCCAAAAAGATCGTGTTCCGAGCTTAACCTGGATGGTGGGTAAAAAAGACAGAAAGGTTCTGGATTTGATTTGGACGAATGAGAAACAGCGGAGATGACGCCTCGGCTCGATCGTAGATTGCCTAGAGCATCTCATCGGGCACGGTGATTGATCGACCAAACGGAAAGGGGATGAGGGGCTGGTATTGGTTTACAGGGATAGATCGCCTAGGGGTTCTTCAATTTGTATTCCCCACTTCCTTCGAGGCTTGTGGCGTTCAGTGCTTTTTTTGGGGGTTTTGGTTTTTTTTTTTTTTTTTCCTGTCGTATGTCAGATCAAGGATCACCCGGAGAACCCGCTTTAGGTTCTTGCTTTTTTCCTTTTTCCCCTAGTCTCACGCCGTTATGCACTCGTGAGCTGAATTTGTGGCTGATGATTTGATTGGAGTGTATGGAATGGTCGCATATGATATCTCTCAGGTGTGTTGCAGTTTAGGTACTTAACTTAGGATGTCATCGTAAATTGCGATCTTTGCCTCGCCTATCGCCTCCATATGTAGTCTGGAGCACTATATTATTCTGGGGCAGTTTCTCAGCTTGACACGACACACATTGCACTAACAGACCCGCTCTAGAAACTAGTCACATTCTGACAATTCAATAATAGCGCAAGTCTCTTATGTCTAGAGATCCTTGGAATGCAAGCTGAGCGATCCAGTTCAGTGCCAGGCTACCAATCACGTCGGAACAATAGAGTTCCTTTTCGCTTGATTTTTTTTTGTGATTGGATAGGTTCTTGGTGAATCCTGTACAAAGTACAATAGCACAATGTACTAAGAAGAAAAAAAGTGTCAGAATATATTGGAATTGTTTTCTCTTTCCCCTTTGCAGCCCCATAATCCCTATAATAACCTATCTTCATCTGACATCTGAGTTTATTTACTTTGAAAGTTAAATAAATTATCTTGACACGGCAGTCGTCTCGGGCCCTAAGGTATGTCCTTTAGGCCCATATTGCAGATTCGATCCACCCGAAGCAAGATACAGAGTAGATCCCTTTCAATTTCCTTTTTTTTTTTTTTTTTTTTTCTCTTTAAAAAAAAGTATATCCGATCGGAATTGGAACAAGCCTTGAAGCTTCCGATCTACCGAGATTTTCCCAAGGTTCCCTTGATTCATTCCAGAGATCTGGCTTGGAAAATTGGGGGGCTTCCAAGTTATCTCAGAAGTCAAACCAAGGTACTCCGTACTGTGTATAAGATAAAGCCAAAAAAAGAAAAAGGCGAAAAAAAGCAATTGGAACTCCAACCGATCGTTATACCTGCCATTAGGTCCCCATTCAAGAGATCCGAGATCGTGCATGAGGGAATGCAGATCATCGGATCTCGCAGGCAACCAGGATCGTCCCTGGGAAAATGACTGGTCCATAATGCGGGTGGTCCTCTCAGATCCCTCAAAAGCCATTTGAGGGGGGAAATGAAGAGGGGTTAAACATAACATTTTACCTCCTCTTCTCTCTTGCATACACTTTTTTGGCTTGTATACCCTAGCGCCGGAGGAATTGCTCCAGATCGGTGGGAAACATATTTTGATCCATGGATGCATGCATTTCTTCGTCATTTCCGTTTCCCGGTCCTTGGGTTTACCGAGGCTTTTCCAAGGTTTGAAGGTTATTATATGATATTATATTATATTATATTATATCATATTTTTATTTATTATTTCTTTTATTTCTTTTATTTCCTTTTCGTCCAATTTGGGGTGTCCAATCTTATTTTTATTGTGACATTTGAGCTTCCATCTTGTCTATTATAAGGGATTCTCCATATTGAATTGCCAAGAATTCCTTCTAGAATCAATAGTCTCGCTTTCGTAAACTGTCAGAGGCCCGATCCTTCTCTTCTGCTTTCTATCTGGGCATAAAAATAATAAAAAAACAGATTCAGAAAAGAACTGCTACTGGGAATATATAATAAAATATAATAGTGAGGTCCGTAGCGGTATAGTACACTGTACAAGTACTACACAATAATGCAACCTTAGGCATCCAAAAAGGGCCCTCTGCATAAAACCAATCCTAAATTAAATGGGTGCATGCCTTCCAGCATCTACGGAGTACGAAGTACTTGGCTCTGGACAATTCGATTTGTTTGCTTATCTGGTTGCCCAAAATCAACATAGACTCGTGTCACCGGAATAGTTCATGCACGATTTAGGCATGCCAAGGATATAGTTCACAACAAGGCTACCAATCCCTCGCCACTCTGAGAAATAATATTACAGGCCCTTTTCTCTATTGGTCGAATCAATACTTTATTAGTTTTACATGGAGGTTTTTTTCAAAAAAATGACGTGGGTGTCAGGCGTCTCTTTCTTGAACGGGTTAGGCAGTTGGGCAGGGCACGCGAGTAGAATTCATCTCCTGTCCCCATGGAGTGCTCTAACTTATTGAATGGTAAATGGTGTAGCGACGGGAGCCCGGGTGATGGATCGGTGGGCTATGCACTAGTGCCTGACTCGGCTAGATACCGTGTCGATAGTACTTTATTTCTTGGTCTGCTTTCTGCTTCGTTAGAGCTTTACTATCCTTGTTGGCTAAATTTAGAGCCCACACCTAACGTCAGACGTTAGGTCGCTCAATTAGGAAAGACTGTGATTTTGCGTGAGATGTCAGGAGTATCTGTCCTGCTACTTCCTATACTGGAGCCCGTAAAGTCTGTGATTGGCGATTCTTTGGGCAAGGCTCCAACCTCATCGAGAAAAGACCTTCGACAAGCCGAGCAGCTAGTCAGCATTGCCTCAATAGGCAAGGATGCCCTGGAAAGTGATCAAAAGCATCCATTACATACGATATGCAATATCAGTAATGATATAGGTCCGCATATATCCTCTTAAATTGCACTTTCTTTTTTGTCCTGTTTTTCTTTTTTCTCTCTTTTTTTTTTTTTGGAACTGGTATGTTATGTACAAGTAGCGAAGAAGACATAGGCAATTTATCATATATGCTAAGCCCTGTGACCTGGCTGGTAATAATCAAGATTATATTAGTGATATCACAAAGTTCTCATAATCAAACATCTACGTACATCACGTAGTAAGCATCGACCTAAGCATGTTGTAGCCAACCTTGAAACAAAGAGTGAATGTCGGGGCTCTATTTCGAGTTCGGCTGGCCATTATTTATTCTCGGCTAGCGCGGGCAGCTGGTTGAAGAACATGTATAACTCGGTGGCCGCTGCAGAGGGTATGGTGGCTTCGCCAGGTCTTTGTGGGTGTCTCATGTTAGCAAACAACAATCCCACACTGCCAAATGGGGATATGGTGCATTGCCGGATCCCCGACACCCTTCCACGGTATATGTAGCAATATGACTGTCGATCTCACACAAAGCAGAGGGAAATCATTACCGTCAACTTTTCTTGGGCGTCTTGGCTAAGGAAGAGGCGGGAAAATAGAGATTGGGGGACAAGAAATAGTTAAACTATTATCTCGAGATCATATTGTCAGCTTATAAATAGCGAATAAACAACGAGATCTGATCTCTGACCTGGAGAAAAAGCATCACATGATGCCAGCAACGTAAATATGGACGTTTAATTCCTTCATTCTACGGTGCCAAATACCCCGTTGAAGGGTAATAGGGGTATTTTCATTTTTATTTGCCGAGGAGGATTCAAAGCACCTTGATACCCGAGATGGTTCTAGTGCTTGTGTTGAGGGACTTCCAGATTCTGACCCAATTTTCTCCAACCCTGTCCCAAAAGTTATTTGTCGCCTTATGTTCAAATATTGTAATGTCAATAATCACGAGGTCTTGGTAACGAAATTCCACTCGAGCCTGTGCATCTTGGATGATGGCTTTGGTAGTGGATTATGTGATATCAGAACGTGAAGCATTAGGCGTTGGGAGTTGAAAGTTTTTGCAGAAATTACGATGAGGCGGAGGCCTGTACTATGTGTTGGTCGGCGTCGCCGTGCCCGACCGGAAGGGACATGGTAGTAAGATGTTATGGCGGGAGGAAAAAATATGTGTTCATTGGACGACTGTTTGAAAGAACCTTGGAATATCTGGAGATAGGGCTGTTTATGGATTTATATGTAATCATTAGCCCCACACGGACTTCCCGGGACCACCTTCTCTATCCGGATTGACAATTGATCTCAAAACCCATGGATAGTAAAACTTGGCCCATGGAAATCAATAAAAGACATAAGATTATACCATGGTTCATTTAAATAGGACCATTGGATACCCAACTCTATTTCCTGATCCTACCCATCAAGAAACCGTGTAGATACTTGCATACGTATCCAATATAAAAGACCGGGGTTCTGGTGGAATCCATATATCATACACAGGCATGGGCTTGTAACAAATATAACCTATTTGCCAAGGTATATACAGACTAATAGGCTATATATTAGATATTATTATCATTTTATTACATGAAGGAACAGCCTTCTAGATCAATGGAATCCTAGTAAGAAATTGCATTCAAATAACCCAATAATTGTCTTATTTCTTATGGCCCTATATAGATATCTCTATCCAATCTTTGACTTTCGCATAAAGCGATCAATCATATCCCAGCACAGCAGTCAGAGTACTAGCCAATAGATTGACGAAGCTTGAAGAAGCACCTAGTGTGGCATAGAGCAAGACATCTCTCTCGCCATTATTTGCTAGATCACGCATCCAACTATCCACACTTGCAACGGATGTATCGATATGGGAGCGCCATTGTTCATATGTTTCGCACTCTGTGATTGAGGACACAGCGTTGATAGCATCAATTATAGGGGAGTCGTAGACGGGTTGTGGATGGTGCTTGCATGGATGGAGCGGTGGTGGGTGGCAGCCTTCAAGCCCGCCATCGTACCAAAAGCTGGAGGTACAGACGGGCAAGTCAAAGCTGGACGTAAGACCCCGCGCGCGGATGAGTCGTGGGCGAACATATTTCCAGTACGCAGCCGCATGGCGTTTCGATGTGTATGCATATAAGGTACTGGCTATTGTGCTTAATCCCATGGCACTAGGAGAGCAGTGGGTATACCAACGGACCGCTGCAAGATAGCGAGCAGCCCAAGCTTTGCCCATATCGCAATCGAAGAAAATAGCAGCTCCTCTTTGGTCACCAGTAATACGATCGTATACCAAATTTGAAATCTGGGCCCCTGTTTGCATGACGACAGCAACATCGACTAGAAGGGTGCCATCGTAAGCCACGAAACAGACGCCTGCTCGAAGCGCCATCATGGAATAGAACTCGGCAAAGCTAGCCTGATGCCCGGTTGGCTGGAGATTACCAGCACCGCGGGATACGAAAGTCCACAAAGTCGCGAGAATGTCTGCCTCCGTATCGGCAGTAAACAACGTTTGACTAGCGCCGAGCCAAGGAGTATTCTTGATTGGCGCTGCCCTAGCACCGGCAATCCGGTCATTGAGCCATGAGCACCAATTGTCTACAATTGGCTCGACCGAGGGACGACTGCCATAACAGTACCAGAGTCCTCCAAACATAAAGGTAGCAAACACATATTCAGGACTAGTAGCAATGGACGATTTAGGAATTGTCGGGCGGTCCGTGCCGATTCGCGGCACGTTGGCGTCCTTGGCGTCCTTGGCGCTCTTGGCACCCTTAACAGCTTTGCTCACATTAAAAGCTGACAACATGAGGCTCGAAGCCATCCGGTATAACTCTCTCGGCCCTGGGGGGTCTGCCTGCCTAATGATATTCTCCAGGCTGGACAGTGGCATGGTGGGCGTCGCTGGGGCTTGAGGTATGCCACATGTATTCGAAGCTAGCGACAAGTCGTGTGGTGAATGCGCCAACCGCACAGCACTGGCTGATTCGACTGCTGAAGCGATCTTGTCCAGATAGCTGGCGAGAGTGGGTATAAGACCTTCGGTAGCAATGCGCGGCGGGAGCGATGGATGGCGGGATAGGAGCTCTAGTCCAAGCGAATCACTGCGATTGCTGGGCAGTGATAGATCAACAGACTCATGGCTGGAACATTTGGCGACGGCAAAGTGCGAAAAGAATTCCACCAAGCTGTGGGCAAACAGGGCATCATCTTTGTTACCACACGGATAGCTCATCACTCCAATCTTCGCCGTTGATTGAGGGCCAGTAGCATGAGAGTTCAGCATCTCGAAAATATTACTGCTGATATCTAGGGTTATTTACTGGCATCAATATGATACTAACGGGGTTGGGGTGTGGTAAATTTGTGTGAAGGGGAGGTGTCAAGTCTCTAGTATAAACTGCTTGGGCATTTTGAATATTTTTCAAGACAATCTACCATGGAATATTACCGTGTGAGAACAATAAAACAGTCTAATTCATGTATGGATTAGTAGAGTGGGTTCAATAACGGGTGAATATTAACAGATTCGAATCCCCCTGAAAGTACGGAGTACTAGCTACTAGCGGAAATTGCCAAGTGGGCAACTCGCACGTACCTATATCAAGGAAGACAATTAGGGGAAATTGGCACGGGAAAAAGCGCGCACTGATGGGTCAGTTTGTTCGATAAGGCAACAGAAAAACAGGGAAGACAGCGAAATGTGTACTTTGTATGACTATGACTATGGAAGGATCTGTGTCTAGAAAGCGCAGTCTACCTGGGTTGTGGTCTGACACATAGGGTCCTTAGCGTCTGTTAATAAAGAGCGTCCCCATAGAATTGTGGGCCTGGTGTATGCATGTCGCTATATTCAGAATAATAACCTGTTCGCCGACGCCTCGGGAGTCTCCGGTATAAAGTACAATTTCATGTGCCGAAGAAATTTGATTTCTAATGAAACTTAGAGCCTAGGCAACGTATACCGCTACAGTGACAATCGGATCTCCTGATTGTTGTAACCCAATTTTTTTGTTATAGGTACAATATAGGTATAACCATTGGCGTACGTCGAAGGCTTAAATTATCTTATGTAATCTGTCAGATACGCATGGCACGGGTTCCTGCAGGCTGGCTTTTAGTAAACCAGCCATATAAATTTAGGTAGTTATCCCGTCCTGTGGACAGTTTATGCATTTCACTGTTTTTGTGCACTTTGTACATCTAAAAACGAGTCTAAAAAGAATGTCCAAAAAGAATGTCAGAGTGCTCTTACATATAACGTCCCAAATATATATCTGTTCTCAAGGACACAGACCACATGAGCAGCCGACTATTCTTGTATACCATGAACGGAGACGCATACCCCAAAGGTCCAGCCCGAATCTCAACCATATATACTCCGTAATCAAGCTTAAAAGAGTCATAAATTATGACGAAAATCTTCTTTCAATGTACTACCTGCTTACGATATCGTGGGCTTCATTTACGTGCCGTCTGGAGGATGCATAAGCCGACTTGACTATACGATGTTACGGGAAACAGTTTCTGTACGTACCAGAAAACAATCTCAAAAAACACCCCGAATTGAAAATAGAACCAATGTCTATCCAAAGAGCTCGGAAATTCCAATTCTACAGATATGCAGCTCAATACCGATCCAATAGAAGAGCAAACACTCGAATACGAGAGCTGGGGCCCATTCCTTCAGCTCCTATCCGCACCCTAGAGGGTTGGTACACCACGGAAATGGTATTGTAGACTATGGGCATGAGCAACGGCGACGTAATCGCACTTGAATCCAAGCCCTTCTCCTACGCTAAAGTACCAATCACCCCTATCTTGGTGGATATGGATGAAAACCTTGAAATCATGGATTTTGGGGGCGGTTTCACACGAGCGTGGGGCGATGAGGACAAGACTGAATCGAGTACGGAGTAAGGGTGACGGACATGGCTCTTTGAGAATTATGGAGTTTCGAGAACTTAGTGACCGTTGCGTTGAGTGGGGTCTCTCTGTTTTACGCCATGGCGCAGTTAGTTCTCAAGTTCGAACCGACAAAATATAAGTTGGAGATGGTAAACAGGACGCAGTCAAATTAGGAAAGCCAAAAATTCTTGTCGGATAAATTAGCCGATATGATGCTAGCTAATGAAAGATTAGGATAGAGTAGCTGAGGCTCCTTGATGTAGATGAGATCAGGGATATTCTAAGACGAAAAGAGAGAACCAGTGCTAGAGCAAGGCCAGTGGAGTCCAGCAGGAGGCTGGATAGTACTAACCTGCAAATAACATGGTCGCTCTTGCATTTTTACCAACTAGGTTGCCGAGCCGTTTTGACTAGTGCCTGCAAAGGCGCAATGGGGCCGTAGTCATTGAACCGTAGTGAGATTAGTTGCAATACCGGAATGCAATTGACATATAAAGACGAATGCTGGATATCCAGGGCGATGAATGCTTGCACTAAGCAGCAAAAAGACTGCGACAATACCGGAACGGACCATAAATAATTCGACAAGATGAAGAATCAGATATAAAAGATTGATTTATGCATGTTGAACTGAAACTGGAAGAAATAATAACAACCTATAAACCCGAGGAACGAAACCTGGGATACCAAGAAGGGATGCAAAATAAGGGGAAAAAAATAACAACAGATACCCTCCACGCTAAAAAAAAACAAAAATCAGACAATGAGCAAAACAATGGCTTGTCGACGACCAGGTCGAGTGTGTGTCTAGCCATGAGCTCAAAGTGAAAAAAAAGAACAACCGCAGAGCTTTTGCAGATGCAGGGTGGGACAAATATGTACAGCCGAACCAATAGTTTCTTTCGCACATGATTGCAATGAGCATTTAGCCATCAAGGCACAATGCGTCAAGCCAGCCACTTAGAATTGAAGTGATCACCAAGTTTCCTTGAAGAGAAGTCAGCATGCGCTCCAAAAAATATATATAAAAAAAACATCAAAACTTACAGCAATATACTGCCCAGCCTCCTTCTTCCGCTGCCAGAACATATCGGCCTCTTGAGCATTGAGATTACCCTTGGCCATGGCAACATCAATAAGAGCAGCCTCAACACCCTCACCCATACCCTTACCCGAACCACAAACAAAGACACGACCGTCCAGCGAGTTGATAACAAACCAAACAAGATCAGCCTGGTGTCTCACTTCCTCCTGCACATAGCGACTCTCGCCCCTACGGCTCTGCACAACAGTGCGGACCTTATCCTCATGCACGCCCCACTCGCCCGAGTAAAGCTCATCAAGCAGTGAGTCACGCACGCCCTGCAGTACCCAGACCTTATTAGCACAATTGGCCGACTGCAGACGGCGCTGCACAAAGCCACGGAAAGGTGCGATGCCAACACCGGCGCCGATGAGCAACATGGGGCCATCTGAGGCAAAGCGCGTTGCGAGCGGGTTCGCCATCAATCCCCGGAACATGGGTACGTGGAGATCGACTTTCTCGCCAGAGGCTTCGGCGGCAATCGCGCGCCGCGCGAGGGACTCCAGATAGCCGGACCCTACGCCTGTGCGGGTTCCGCCACGCCAATCCTCAGATTCGGCAACTGTGACGGCGACTTCAACTAGACGTCGGCATTCGGTACCCTTATATTGGCAGGATATCTGGGGGTCTTGGGAGAGGGAGTAGAATCGGGGCATAAGGGTGTTGAGGACAGAGAGGAGGTGGTCGAGGGGTGGTTGGGAGCTTGAGAAGGCAGTTAGGAGTTGAGTGAGAGAGACGAAGGAGCTTGTGCGTATGTCACAGAAGGCGCCTTGGCCTTGGGCTGAGGAGAGGTATTCGAGGATCTTTTTCTCGTTTGGCTCGCTTGCGTACTCGGCGAGGAGACGGAAGAGTGGCTTTGTTGGGGCGTAACTCTGGATGTCAGAGCACCAACTTAAGACTTCGCGACGGGTAGTGATGAGTTCGCGGGCTTTGTCATCGCCCCAGATTGTCGGCCACCGGCCTTTGGTGGTGCGCATGAGGACTTTCTTGTCGCGCATGGAATTTGGCACACCTAGAAGATTGAGAACCTCTTCGACTTCGGAGTCCTTGTTCTTGGGGCACACGCCAATTGCACCACCTACTACGAAGTCGACCATCCCGCTTTCGGCCGGGTAATCGGTGACATCGATATCAAAGTGATAGGTGCGCTTCTCGGCGCCGGGCCCTGTTAACTCCCGGGCGTGGAACAGAGGCGCACGGTATACCTGATAAGGTGGGTGCGGCTGCACGAATTCTGGCGGGTGGTCTGCGGGGCCAAAGGTCATCTCGACCGCCGATGCGGGAATTGGCTTGAACGAAACAGTCTTCTCTGGAAGAGGAGCAATGTTGGAAAGCTCACTGTCCAGGGTGAGGAGATTGAGGTTCAGCTTGAGGCTATCAAAGGCCTTGTTGCCTCTAGGTCCAACGATGGAATTGAAGCCTGAGATCGGTCCATCTACAGGGCGCAATGCCTGTCCTCGGCAACAACCTCCACCACAGCAGAGGGATTGAAGCTTCTGAGTGCCTGATGAGCCCACATTCTCCAATACCCTTCGCATATCATTCGCATTTTGTGAGATGAGGACAGTTGATGCCCGTCGCCGTTGCCGACCGCCGTCGACTTTTTCCTCTGCATTTTCGTCCTCCGATTGGGACTCGGTGCGTGGTGTCAGAGGGCTATTGGGGGAATTCGAGCCGCTCGATACAGTGCCCTGGGAGGAGCCCGAGGAGATGACATTGAAACTGGTGTCGGTCACGGAGAGCGAACGTACACCTCGAGGCTCTTCCGGAATTGGATTATCTGGGTGGGAGGTCGAGGACACTGGGATTTCTTGATAAGTGCCTCTGCGGGGACGGGACGCCGTTGAAGCATAAGTCGCCGACGGCATGATGGATTGAACGGCGTGAACTAATTTGATAGATCAGAATGTGAGCCTCGGGCGATTGGATTGGAATTAATTAGCTGTTCTCTGCATACCCGTGAGGAAACTTAAGATGTGTCGGGGAGTCACCGAAAAGTTGCACAAGAATCAGCGTAACGAGGGAAGATTTGGGGGGGGGGGGGCATATGAGTCAAGATGTGCTGGTTAAGGGCAGTATAGAACCCCCTTTTTTTTCACTTTCTATGAATAGGGCATGGGAAATAGAAGAGTGGAATGAGGAAGGAGAGCGTGGACCCGAAGAACGGGACGATAGTTCCGTACAAGAATAAAAGCGAAAATGACGGTATGGGAATGAGAAATACAGGGTCTCACAGAGAGAGCGGAAACAGTGACAGGGATTTTATCAGATTCGCCACATTCTTCGTCACGTAT